AGCGCACACACGCGCGCACACACTCTCTCACACACACACACACACACACACACAATCAATCAATCAATCAAACCTTTTTTTATTATTATTTCTTTTCAAATTTTGCATCTTTATTTTTTTAAAACACCATATTTCCCTGCAAAATACAAAACTCCAATTCAAAAAAAAATACAGGTGTACTCAGGGACCATATATCTCATGATAAAAAATGGCAAAAAAAAATTCCTGCTTTTCTTTTATATTCTGCAGACTGTTGAGGGTTCAGCCTCCTGATGAGTCGGTGAAACTCCGACGAAACAGTTTGTCACAGCCCCTCGTTTGTTGTCCTCTTCTCTCTCTCTCTGCCTACGGTTTACCGGGCAGTTCTGTTTGTGACGATATATATACATATATATATTTTTGTTTAAATCGATTTTAGTTTTTGATTTTTTTTAAATCTTAAACAAAGTCGGATTCTAAAAATAAAAAATATAGGAGTGTAGGGTTTTTCAAGCCCTACACCCCCATATTTTTTTATTTTTTTTTTATGTATTTTTAGGGGGAGAAAAAAAATATTGCAAAACCGGGCCGCAGACTGGGCCTCGTTGGCCGCGGCCGCGGCCGAGAATCTCGACCGCAGCGGCCGAAATGCCCGCAGCCTAGGCCGCGGGTGTCACATAGCGCTCCAGGCAACTTTGGAATGAAATGGACTCAGAGAGGTGTTGCTCAAATTGGAGATTTGTGGGACGAGTTTACCGGCCAATGGCATCCGCACAGCCACCTGAGAGGAAAACTGATGCAACTGCCATATCAGGAAGAAAGGCTGAGATCTCTAATTGTTGCTATTCCAAACAGATGGAAAACGCTGCTTGGCCCGCAGGGTGTAAACCCTCCGGGCACATGGTTTAAACCAGCAGTAGAGGAGGAAGATGTTAGCTTCTATAGATTAAGTAGTTGGCGAGAAGACGAACAGGGGAAATGTGAGCTAGAGGAGTATAGACGAACTACAGAGCATGGCGATATCTTAGCTTTATGTCAGTCTACATCGAGATGGGGGTTACAGGGGTTAGAGGAAATCCGGGTTCGGGCGGTAAAAATGCAGGGAAGGGGAGAGCCCTCAGTCTACAAGTTGATAGCGGGAGGGCTGGCGAAGAGACTGCTCAGAATCGACCCACTGGAATGGGGCTGGCAAGTTGGGACAATAAGTATTTTGGATCTCTCAAACTTGTCTGGGAATCTAGTGACCACCAAGTTGACAAAAGGAGAGGGTCTGAAGACAAAAGTGATAAAGCGCTGGGAGACAGCACAACCATGCATACAACAACCGTTCGAGAGGGAGCTGAAGAGACTTTGGGAACAGCTGGCCAAGATTCCCTCTCAGAGATTCGCATCTCTCCTGTGGCTACAGTCGCACTTATCAGTCCCCACAACAAGATGGCTGAGCAACAGGGGTATGGAAGTAGATTGTGATAGATGTAACTGGCCAGTCGAAACCATGACCCACCTATTGTGGGCCTGCCCTCGTTCACACAAATGGTGGACCTGGTGGTTTCGGCACTGGGCTAAAATGTCAGGAACAAACTTTGCGCAAGACGAGCGGTGGGTGCTACTAGGAACTCTCCCAGAAGGTGTCCCCAGCGGCAAAGGCTGGGGGTACATTGCACAAGTTTGCAGAGCAACATTGATGTGGGTCATATGGGTGGACAGAAACGGGAGAAGGTTTCAGGGGCAGAGAGGATGTTCAGGGTGACCCTGAAGATGGAGATCAGGGCAGATTGGAGGAGGAAAGTTCTGAAAGGGAACTGTGAATCAGGCATGTTGTGATTTGCAGAAACGTGGGCAAGACCGGGAGGACTAGCTATGATATCTGATAGGAAGCTTAAGACTTCGCCTTGGCTCGATTGAGAGTAGGGTTAGGACGTAGATGGAAGAACCAGGTGCACTCGGTTCCAGTGGGCGGTCACCGTAGACCGCGAAGGGTAGGGAGGGAGGAGAGTGCCAGGCTACCACAAAAGGAACAGAGGTTCCTCTCTACTGGCATTAGGTCGAGCAACAACTTCGGACCGAAGAATAGGTCTGAACATAGTATCACGTAGACAGGATAGTTAAAGTTAGAAGTAGAAAAGTTACTACAGGACAGGTCTGAGGAGGTAGGGCCCGTATGTAAGGGCTTTAATTAAGATCGTAGATCAACTAGGTGGAATGGAACGTAGGGTAGATTTTTGAATATGAAGAGATTGTTTTGACAAGCTAAGCCGGCTGAAGCTGCCGGGATAACTCCAGGTTGATTTGTGAGGTCCCCGGCCTCGATCCAAATGTTGATTGCAATGAATTTGAATTACCAAAAAAAAAAAAAAAAAAAAAAAAACACAGTAAAATCAGGTGTGAGACAGGCCATCAGAGCGGACAGGAGAAGGAAAGTGAAGATGGGGAAGAGGAAAGGAAAACAGCTGTTCTGGTTTCTTCGCACTTGGTCTCGGGGTAACCAGTTAGCAGCCGTGCACACCGAACAAGATAGTGGGACTGTGAGGCAGACAGAGGTAGGGAATAGGAGGCCGACTAGATAGAGACTAGGAAATACCAGGACACTCGGTTATTCTCTCTTTTGGACCGAAGTAGGCCAACAGGGGACGGAGGGTGGAGAGTGTCACAGTTCGGTCGGAATGACAGTTCCAATCGGTCGAAGTAGGCCGGTGTCAGGCCGGAATAGGCCTTTGCATTAGTTATGTAGGCCTGTGCATTAGTTATGTAGGCCAAGTGCATTAGTTATGTAGGCTATAGCAGTAGGAATACGATAGACTAGGAAGTAATACTCTGGAATGGTATGTTTCAAGTTTGACAGTTACCTAGTACTTTGTAGTACAACCTTATATAAGGTAAGTGAACGTGGATGAAGAGGGAAGTTTCTCTCTGCAGGTACAAGACCTGTAAGCTAAGCTGGCTGATGCTGCCAGACCCCCGGGCAAATTGTGAGGTTCCCGGGCTCAAGTTGCTTTATAATTGAACACTACAAAAAAAAAAAAAAAACTTTGCCAGCACATTTGTCAGAATACACGGCCAGACCGATATTTTTGCTTCGATATTCTCTGAACCGGTATATCTGCAATTTGCCCAAAAATCCCATGGACTGTCGAAACAGAGCACCACAGTGACTTCGAACAACTCTGAAGTTACCTGGGGCGGGCCCATCCAATGATGATGTCGCAAGGCTGTCTCCCTTCATTCTAAAAGAGAAATTCCCCCCCCCCCCCCCCCCCCCCCCGACCCCCCTTCTTGGTGCTCGAAACTCCTTACACCCTTTCTCCAGTTTGCTCTGATGGCTCGAACCTGGCCAACCCCTTCCGGCAATAACGCACGACGACTTGCATCTGAATTCCCTGAATTCGTTGACGCCGTCCGTTCATCATTGGAATTCGTTCTCCTCTGCGAAACTGTTCAATAACCCTGGTTGCTCTCTTTTCTTCCTCAGGCTCTCTCCCCGTTTTAAACCGTGGTCAATTTCACCACGGAAAAAGCCAGTTCTGTAACTTCTGTTCATTCGGTCTTTCGTTTGCCTGAATTTTTTCTTACCATGATATGCCGCTGCGATCTCTATCTCCTGAGCTTCGTCCAATCGGTTCCTGTATGCATCCCCCCCTCTTTATGTTTCCTAACGACTCCTAAGGCCTGCAGTGTGAGGTTGGCTCGAGACTTGTCTCTCTGCTCTCCCCACACGACCTCCCTGCACCAGGCCTCGGAGCACACCCTTCTCTCTCTCCTGTTCCATCCGACGTTCAATCCCGTCACCCGCAGAATTTTACCACGTCATCATCAAGCAGGACCCCAGGTGCTGAAGCTCCCCACGGTCTGCCACTTCGACAGCAGCTGCCTCGGAATTCTCCAAAATCATAGGCTCGAAGAGCGAGGCTCGCGAGATTATTGAGTTCTTATTTCAGTTTTGAGTTGCTCGGGGGAAGGAAAAAAAATTGAGCGCAAAAGGCCTCACTGCTAAGGGAGCGAGGGGCGTCAGCGGGTAAACCGGAAACACAATTCTACTCAGTCAGTCCCCTACAGTTCAGGGTAATCAATGGTGTAAAGAGAGGGTAAAGCGAAGAACGAATGTAGACGGTCGTTTTTTTTTACCCGAACACGACGCACCTTGAATATGGTTGTACCGGACCCGGCGGACCGGAAAGATAGCTCGTATACGTTCATTATCAGGGTGCGTTGTGTTCAGGGAAAAACGCTAGTCGTGGGACTTCCTACGAAAGTTCTCGTCCTAAAACAAAAAAGGACGAGCTCGCACGAGTATTGGTTAGATTCCCCGTATCAGCCGAGATTGCCCGAATGCTGATCAATATGAGGATACCGAGATTACAGCTCGTTATAAACCCACCTCACCAATCCAGTAGCTCATCGGTCAACAAATACCTGCAGAACAAGGCAATGATGTCACGTGAATGGATCCGTTCAAACCCCTACGCCCCCCACGGCCTCTCTCTCTCTCTCTCTCGCACTCACACACTCACGCACACAGAAGTACAGACAAGTAACCCCACCCCGCCCCCTCCCCAATCACACAGACACATAGGAAAGCAAACAAACACAGCAGTTCATGAGCTGATCGTGCCGATGAACAGCTGCACACCTCCAATATAGGAAGCCTGTTTCACATCCGCTACTGTACCTTGATAATGACGGCAAGAATTGCAAACAAACCGCTTCGATCCGACTAAGCCACCGCCATTGACAATACAGAAAACGACTTCAAGGCAAAGGGCAGATAGGAAAAGGAAACGGAAGAACGAGAACCACTCACTCCGACATAGAGGAGTCCGAATCATCCCAACCAACCACTCACTCCGACATAGAGGAGTCCGAATCATCCCAACCAAACGTACAGACGACCGAGTAACACGCGGCACCACACAAAACACTGATTGTGGATCCGCAAAGAACAAAAATTATTACGATTCCAAATTCAAATCAAATAAATCGATAAACCGTTAAACCCCAATCTAATTGAACTGTCCGACTGCGGACAAACTCGTCTTCAACCAAATGCACAAATGCAAACTACAGATGACACAGCCATTGAGACTACGAGATGCTGTGTGAATCTGACCCTACCTCCTAGTATAAACCTAACTCACTGTCACCCGAAGCAAACGCAGAGAAAGTCTGGCTATGGATCACCTACTGTTCCATTCTACGATGGCATATGCGATCAACCGCCTGCCTTCTGTAATTGAACTGTCCGACTGCGGACAAACTCGTCTTCAGCCAAATGCACAAATGCAAACTACAGATGCCACAGCCATCGAGACTACGAGAGGCTGTGTGAATCTGACCCTACCTCCTAGTATAAACCTAACCCTCTCTCACCCGAAGCAAACGCAGAGAAAGTCTGGCTATGG